GAAGGGAAGAACAACAAAAATACATTACCCAAATGAAACGAGCAGAAGAGGAATACGTAGAAAAGTGCAAGAGTATGGCGATGGCAAAACAAAAAAACTTCAGCATGGATGTTAAGAACGGAGCGACGCAGCTGGATGAACTCTTCGACGACATCAATAGTTACCGAAGAAACTGGATACTTGCAGAAAATGAGAAAAGGCGTGGACATCTAAGCAAACGCATCACGACCCCCACGAGTCAATAACCTCTAAGCGGCGTGCGACAAGCCCTGTTCAGTCCCAAGAAACAGTGCGACTACGAAATGGAAACGGCGGTCAGTAACAAAACGTTTTGCCTAAAAAAAAAACAAGGAAGACGCACGACAACGAAGGATCGTTGGCGGAAGCACATAAAAACGCAAAAGAGAGGGAACATGGCGGCAAGTTAAAGAGCAAATAATAGGCCCAAACGGCAATAAGAGTTCGTAATCATAAAGCCGGCAGAAGGTAATAGCTTCGTCGAAGTCCTTAAGAATATCCGTAGCAAGGCATATCTTAAGGAAGCAGAGGTTAACATTAAAGGGATCCGCAAAACAAGAGCCGAGGCTCCAATATTAGAGCTGGAGAAGGGACAGTCTACAAAACCCAGCTTCTGCGAGGCACTCAAGACCATGCTTAAAGAATCTGCAATGGTGGGCGACCTTAAAACAAGGGCTACTATAGAGGTTAAGGAACTCGAAACACTCACTACAAAAGTGGAAAAAGCAGGTGCTGTAAAAGAAGAAGGACCACATCGAAGACTTGGCGTTAAACATAACAGTACCTAGCACATGAGAGCAGTTAAGGGCATATATTACGCTCGATCAGGATAAAGCTGACGTAAAAAGGTTCATAAGGTTAGTAGTTATAGGTGGTAGAATGAGAGACCGTATCTATTTTAGTGACCTTGACATAACCTTAAAATGGAAAGCATTTTTAGAATATGAGCTTAAACACAGTGGACAAATGACTGCTGTTTTCAGATAAAGTACGTGACTGTGAGCATTTACTTCCAATAAAAAATTTTTTAAATTATAAATGATTAATTAAAATACATTTTGACGTTCAGCTTTTCAAGTTTTGGCACAGAATTTAACTAAGTATGAGTAATTCAAAAATAAAATCAAAGTTTCAACAAGCTTCAACTAACCAAATTTCAGTCTCTTCCCTAACTGTCTGTAAAATATTGCCACCCTCAAACAAATTAGTCAAATCAAAGTTCTTAAAATTAAAGAATAATAAAAACCATAGCTGAAACATAAATGAAGCAAAATGCCGATGAATTATGCAAAAAGAAACTCCGTAGATGACAGCGGTTAAGCTCCGAGTTTGCCAACCACGAATGTTCTGCCTGGCTACTAAACTAAAGTTTTTGTTCTTACTGTTGTTGTTTTCTTCTTTTTTTTTTTAAGGCTAGTCCATAATCCGTTGCGTGTTCGGTTGAGATTATTTATATCGCCTCCGTGGCGCAATTGGCTAGCGCGTTCGGCTGTTAACCGAAAGGTTGGTGGTTCGAGCCCACCCGGGGGCGGTGAGTTCTTTTTGCTTATTAATTTAAATAATTATTAAAAAATTATTCGTAGAATAGTAAGTAATTTACGTTGTTGACCTATTTTATACATTACATGAATTTCAATTGCTGTTAAAGCGCCATGAAATATGCAAATTAGTTATCTTCGAAACTTTCATGTTGAGAATTTTCTAACGTGCAGTAATTGGATCATAGAGCTTTAAAAGCGTAATGTAGCTAAGATATAAAAAAAAATATCGTTTTATTTTTTTTCGTCAGGGTATACTCTTCAAGAATATGCCTACAAAGGGATTTTTCAAAAATTAAATTAATTTCGGGTTTTCGGAGATAATGCTGACCCGACATTCTAACTGGTTTGGCCGGACCTGAAACTGTAGTCACGTTTTCTTCTCGAAACATTTTTTTTTTTACCCACGAGTTCTTAAGTTCTATTGGACGGATTTAATTAAAAGGCTTCTGTTAATCCTGGTCTGGAACTATCCATATCTTCAAATTGCAATAACTAATAAAAAAAATTAATACTAAAAATATTATACTAAGTCTTTTCTGACAAACCGTCGAAAATTACCTGTATTCATGCCTCTGGACTAGAATACCTCCTCAAGACGTACTCCGCGAAACGATGTTTTCAGAGTAAGTGGATAAATTTCTGGTACACATATACATTTATTCGACTTCATATGTTCTTTTTAGAGTTTTCTAGTAATGATTTTCATTATTTATTACTAATAACAATAATTCTTCTTTAAGTTTTTGGTTTTCAGACAATTTTATACAGAAATTAGAAGATACAAAACCTTACTATAGGCCAAAAAAGTTTCGATATGAGAAACTGAAAGTATTAAGTCATGAAGATTGTTGCCAAACACAGAAAATAGCGCAGATTCTTTGTAAGTATCTCAGGCAGTAATTTTAAAACGTTTAAAAGCAGTCAGGTATATTTAAAATCAAGGAAGTTGGGTGTCATATAAATTGAAGCCAAGAGACGTTGCAAGACATCTCCGAATTACTGCGCAAATGCTATAATAAAAAAGTGTGCTTTACATTGGCTTTTGACTGGTGATGAAAATTAGAACCAATGTCAAAACCCTAAACTCGAATAAAAACATTAATGGGAAACGCGATCGACAACAGTTCATTAAATTGAAGCGAGCGACTTACGAAAAACGGGCGTAATTCCAAATGGACACATGACTATCATTTTCCATCATGATACAAGACCGATTTTAAGCTTTTTGGAAAACAGTGGGTGGGAAGTATTGCCTCACTCGCTTTACAGCCCTAATCTGTAATCCTTCTGACTGACCTTTTATTCTGATCGGTGCAGAAGACACTCGCTAGAATACTGTATTGGCTTGATGCATTCTTGACATCCGGATTTTTTACTGCCTAGAGAACAATATCATCCGTGTATGCAGATTCTTCGAAATATTCCAGAAAGTTTGTATTTGCCTATTAAGGCCTTGTTCAGTATATCGTCCAAAACAATGAGAAAGAGCAACGGTGTCATACCACAGCTCTTGTTTTCGAGAGTTTTCGGAAAAATTGATTTCGATATAATATGATATTCGTCGCGGAGAGTGACAATATGATCGGAACTTAAACTGTACCTGCAAACGCCTGTTTGTTACTTCCTGAGCAACCTTTCGACATGGGTCTGTGTTCGGTTTAAAAGAAGTTTGGTAAGAATTTTTAATGCGATGCCGATCCCTCTATAGTTTTTACCATAAACATATATGATATATCTGGTATATATTTCTTAATAGACCAATTAAAAATTCTCTAGATAGATGACGCTATTAGAAGCAGCAAGCTCTGTGTGAAAAGTGGTACCATGCGAGCTCAAGTTTGATCAAAAACAACGAGTTAATGATTCGGAGCAGTGTGTTAAGGTATTCAAGCATAATAAACCCGTGTTTTTGCGTGGGTATGTGACAATGGATGAAACATGGACGCATCATTTTACTCCGAAGTCCAATTAACAATCATTCAAAGCGTGGAAAAACGCAACCATTGGCCTGGCAAGGTTATGGTTTCTGTACCTTAAAAAGGAAGGACCATCAACAGTGGCTATTACATAGAGTCGGACGAATCCGCCGAAAAACGGCAGCATTTGAAGAAAATAAAAATGCTGTTCAACAAGTCAATGTACGTAGCCACAAGGTAGTGAAAATGAAAGCAGAAATCCATGAGTTGGACTTCGAAAAGCTGCCGCATTCACCTTATTATCCCTACTGGATCCTCAGCGACTATTTCCTATGTTCAGTTCTCAAAAAAATCCTCGCTGGGGAGATATTTTCGTCGAATGGACCGGTGATCGGCGAAACGGAGGCCTATTTTGAAGCAAAGAGCAAAAAATACAAAATTACAAAAATTATATCGAAAAGTTGGAGGAGTTGTTGACTATGTTGAATAAAAGCAAGGAATTTTGCCAAACAAACAAAAATGCTTTACTATCTGTTATTTAAGAATTTGTAATAATAGGTGGCACACACCCTGTAAATACTCTAATAATAACCTCAATGCACCATTTTCGCATTTCTTTCTTTGAAAGTCATTTTACTTCCTTCTTATTGCCAAATACACTATAATTTTATATAATATACATATATGTATGTATGGCTGCAAGTAATATTTGAATATTTTTTCAATTTTATTATGAAATTTTAGCTCAAATTTCCAGCGCATATTACGACAAGATGGGCGATCCAGTGAATAAAAGAAAAAAATTATAAAAAAAAAATACAACAAAAAACGTTGAAAAAAGAGGATAAAAGAGGACAAAAGCGGTAAATAAGTTGTTCGACTGCAATCAGACGCARAAACAAACACTAATTTCAGGGACCTTGAAATTGTGTATGGACTTCGGCATACCGACACAAATTGAGCCGCACACACTTAACGCCGTCTAAGACTGAAGACCGAAGACGCTCACTTTTTCGCATTTTGTTTCKTTTTTTGTTGTTTTGTTTTTGGTTTCGCAAATATTTCAAGGGTAATTTATGCAAGCGCCGTGGTGTTGCATGTTGCAGCGTTATTGCGTGGCAATTCGGTGTGGCATGTTGGCATGCAGACGCGCCTAATTGTCCTACAGAGCGAAATGACTAATTTATGCGAGCTTTTAAGTTTTTATTTTGTATTTTTTGTTTTTGTATTTCACTATCTTCTTTTTTAACGCCTTTTTGTGCGCATTTTTAATATTTTTTTCGTTTCACTCTTTCGATCGGCCTTTCATTATGAACTTACTACTTCGCATTTTTCTTAGGAAGCTTGTGATTGACTTTTTTTCATTGGCCTTATCGCTCGATTGATTTTGCTCGGGCGCAGACAGTATTTCTTTGGTAATTTGAGCGTTTGCCACAAACTTAGAGACGCGCACTCACTTTGCTTGGCAAGTTTGATTATTGCAACAAATTTACCGTTAGTTTGACTTCCATGGAAATAGCGGCCCGAGGCGATGGAAGCCAATTTATGACAGCAGCTGTAGCCAGAATACGAAAGGAATCAAATATCAAGGGTGCGGAGCTGTGAACTCACCTGTAAGAAAAAAAATTAAAATAAATTATTTTAAATTTGAAAATGTGTAAGAGATTGATGCATTTAGTAGCTAAATAAAGTGTGGACTAAATCTATGGACGTTTTTGTTATAAAAATACAATATTCTTAAGGAGTGAGTACATAGATAGAAGTTACTTTAGGAACATGATGGGCATACCAACTGGTCACTGTCTGGTGGCGACACACGCTCTCACAGATCGATCGAAGACTGCAGGAAATGCCCAGAGCAGGGCACCAAGGAAACAATGGAGCATATCTTGTGCACTTGTTCTGCATTGACAAGACTACGCTGTAAGCATTTGGGGTCTCTACAGTAGGATACACCGGAGGTGGTATCGACAGTGAGGCCACAGAGTCTGTTAAAATTCGTGTAAAGCGCAGACATCCTAAACGGTGACTATTCTTCTTGGACTTAGCAATTGAACTCCATCTGGTATTGCAAAGAATGTGTGGTAGGGCAATAACTACCAGATTAACCTAACCTAACCTAAGGAGTGAAGAACATATAGAAATTGCATATCATGTCTACATATTTGATAAAATCAAAAGTAAAATATTACATTTCGCATAGGATATGTTAAGAGATCGATCCTACAAGGAGTCTCACTTGGACAGCTTCGAACGACAGTCCGCTGTGGACCTTTAAAATCGGAGTTTTCTCCTGAATCGCCAAAGGTAAGACTGCCGAGATATTTTAACCACCGTCTTTCAAAAGCTCGTCATTGATCTGGGCTGGGCTGGACATTGTTTCCATCTCACTCTCCTGCATACAACTTTGACAACTAGCATCCGAAAATATTTTTACTCTTACCGCGTGAATACTTTTTCGACAATCCAATCCCTACGGTTACGGCTGAGGGTAAGTAGTTCAGAAGATATACTGCGATCTACACTAGGGCATTCGTCCTCCATGTGAAAGCTTATTATCAAGGAAAAGTCCAAGGTATTTCACTTAGATAACATTTTAAAGACCTGAGCTTCTAAAGGAGGAGAGGGAATCTGGACAGGTCTGGGATAATATGAATACTGATAAATAAAACCAATCGATGACGATGAAGCGGGCGTCGTATTGTCCTATTATCCGACCATGAAGAAGGTTGAATAGCAATTACTCGTTTGAAGAACAACAAACCGGCGGAGGCCGATGTATTGCTGGCCGATAAGAATAGTATGGTCGGACGAAAACATGCCCGACGATTGAAATCCGTCCGTCAGTATCAGGAAGGACCTCTCCGAGCCATTCGATTCCAAACGAGGTTTCGTAAAAGGGGACTGTCTATCGTGCGACTTCTTCAATCTACTGCTGCAGTAAATAATTCGACTGTAGAGCTCCATTAAGAGCAAGTACAATATTCTATAAGAGTGTACAGCTGCTGGCGTATATTGGTGTCATTGGCCTCACCATTCGAAGTGAAGAATCGTAGTCGGCGCATTCGCGTCTTGGCTCCCACACGCCACTGTTGGCAGTCACAACTTCGAACTCGTAGATAATTTCGTCTATCTTGATACCAGTATTAGCACCAACAACAATGTCAGCTTCGAAATCTCACGCAGAATAACTCTTGCCAACAGTTGCTACTTTTGGCTGAGTAGGCAATTGGGAAGTAAAGTCCTCTCTAGCCGATCAATGACCAAAACTCTATAAGTCAAGTTGATATAGTATACCCTTCGATCAGCTCGTAGACGGTACTTAGAAATTTTCCGCTCACAAACACTTAGGTGCTCGACAAAGTAGACAGCACCAAAATACTTTTACCGAATCACAAACTTTTAGGTAAACAAAAAACTTCGTGAAAAATTGCCGTTTTCATCCTCAAATCCTACACAGAGCAATAAACTTTTCATAAAAAGCCCTTTTCTTTCCTAAGAAGGTCAATGCTACAAACAAAACCACCTCAAAACGCAGCTAAATTGCGTAAATGATAAACGCGGCTTGCATATCGGCTACAGAAATTTACCGAAAAGTTCATGGAAATTGCACAAATCACCTAGTCTACCCTACCACAAGATACTATATGCCTACGAAAATGTTCAAGAAATACTTCCAAATCATATGAACTGTGTTTAATTGAAATGCCAGCGAGCGCAAAGGCGGTCAACGCACCTACGATTGTAGGCAAAAATTTAATAAAAAATCTAAATTGAGACGGTACTGGGTAGGATGACAGCCAGACAGACATAAAAATGCACGACTCTGCAGGGCAATAAACCGGCGAGTAGGCGCGCATGTTCCAAATTTATTTACCACAAACAGAAGCCGAAGGAGCACAGTAAAATTTAATGGGACAAACTATTGGCAGCGGGCAACCGAACTTACGCGAGTGTAGTGGAGTGGGTCAATGGAGCGCCACGCTAAGTGCACAAACAGCGCATGTTAAAGCTTCAACAAAGCAGACGCACGTAAACACTAAACGACCCAATGACCGAACCTAAAATGCAGCCGTGTGCAAGGAGAGTGGGTGATTTGTTGGCGTACAAAACGGTCGGTCAACGACGCAGTAAATGCACAGCTTCGGCGTTGGAGAAGTGGAAAATAATCTAAGACAAGGCGACGTATGAGCAAGAGACACACGGACCAAAAACCAATGCGCACACACATTTGTAGGCGAACAGCTGTGTCCTGGATACCGAAAAAACGGTTGAAGGTTGAAGGCCACCAGACGTCTTTGTCATCACGTTTCATTACGACTTTTCATTTTATTTCTCTACATTTTTCCTGCTATTTTACGAGCAATACTGGTAAAACGTACATTGGCATTTAACTGCCAAACAACCAGCAAGACAGCCAGCCAGCCAACCAGCTCGCAGCAGCAACAAGACGCGGTCGTTACCATGGTGAACTCCTCACACCCACACGACATTGAGGACATTACCGACATCATCATCTTGTATATAACTCAGCTCTGAACACGCCGATAACAACATCATTATGAGGTTAACGTCTAATACCGAAGTGCTGCTACGGTATATAGACACAACAAAATGCTACAACGGCAACTACAAGCAAATACCGAAGTATCCTCTAGATATATGTTTGCTGCATAAGTATTACTAATATTTTGGGTACTTTCCATCGTATACGACAGTAAACACGCGATTGTTCAACTTTCCTTTCGGCTGCAGCCGACTTTCGCCTGGTTTAACGGTGTCAGTAAGCGTCGCCGCACGATGCTTCAGCCACCTACTCGTGACTCAAGGATGTTGACGCCGCCTACATACATACATCCGACACTCTACGAACGCAAATAAAAAACCAACAACGACATGCGGTCGGTATGCGACCTTCCGATTGAGAGAAGATGGTGTCTGATGGCGCCAGTAGTGCGCTAAGTCAATTTAGTGCGTGGGAAACTCCATGTCTGGGGCTTAGTAAATACTAATGCGGGTACCGTAATAGGTATTGCTTGCGTTTACGTACAGCTCTGCACGCGAAGTTTGTATTTTTGTATTTGTTCGGCGTCTATAGTAGTCGTATGCCGAAAATGGTTCATGCTTTGCACCCACAAATGGCCCAAATGAGTCTCGGAAGTCGCTTACTCGTTCCTTTACAGTAATGTGCGTTATGTATCGTAATGTTTCCAAGTTCTCACTAACCCGCATACCATTCTAAATTTATAGCTTGTCTGGGTGCAACTTTCCAACTGGTTGGGTGTGCCATCTTTCCGATATTTCAGCAGTTGTACCGTTATGCCGGCGCATTTAAAGTCATAAAGACAACGTTGTTGGTGGCGTTGGCGACGTCGGTGTCTGCCTTTCAGCTGTTCGCCAGCCAGTATATTACGACTTAGCCTTAGGTGGGGTGGACGGGCGGAAATAACGCTAAGGCAGACGAAAAACAGATTCAAATCAAAATAGAATTGAGTGAACAGCGACAATGCGGCATGGTGATAGAAAGGTCTGCGTATGTAGATGAGTATTGGCATAAGACAGGCGAATGAGCAGACAGCCATCAATGTGTGCAAGTCAGTCAGCCATACTTTAATGTGGAATACTCTTTGTTGAGGGGTCATATATGTATGTATATTTAGACGTGGGGATACATAAATACATATGTATATATCTATGAATGTGTGTATGTATGTCATACCTTATTTTTATTTCAGTTTGTAGTTAACTGAGGTCTGTGAATTGAAATACTCCCTTGTTTTCCCTTCTATTAAAATTCAATTTATTTTGTATGCGTTGATACATCGATCTCTTTGGCCTAAACAAGCTATTATAACAGGTGCCAGTGCACATACAGAACAGACGGGGGTTGTGAAGAAATTGTTTCTTTTATTTAAAGTGAAATTATATTTTTAAATCATGTGGTGCATTTCACTTGTACTTTTGCGATTTATCTCTGTCTAAAGGATTACGATTGCGCAAGTACCGGTAAACTCAGTAATCGAGCAGTAAACCGCACGAAGGCAACAGAGCTCCAAATGTGTCTCAATCAAATGAGCCTCTCCTTGCTTCAACTTTTTAATTCTCTGCCATTCCACTAGTGTCCATACTAGTATTATCATAAAGAGAACCGTTGCAAAATCTAATCTAGAACGCACGGCTGGTGAGTTTTCAAATTCTTGCCCGGTTATCTTAAGCCAAAAAAAATTGACCATTTAGTACAAAGTAAACGTGAATTAGATCTTCATATGGTGCCGTCAGAAGAACAATCACATCATTTGCTAGTCCCTATACGTATTTAAGTGTTCCTAACCGAAGATTTTATAAATTGGTCTGGAGGTTTAGGTTATCTAGTATTTGATTTCGTTGTTTATGTGATTTTGTTGGGTTCTGCGTTTATATATCCTCGATAGTATAGTGGTGAGTATCCCCGCCTGTCACGCGGGAGACCGGGGTTCAATTCCCCGTCGGGGAGATGTGAGAGATTGCATTATTTTTTTTATCGACGAAAACGACAGCTTCACAGAAATTTTTTACAATCGCTTGGAGAGCTCTTGTTTTCCTTAGCAAAATTAATTTTTTTCTGACATCTT